CTGGCTGAGCTTCATATTTTTTAAACAGGATGATCGAAGTACAATTTACATACCATAAAATTCACCCTTTTTACATGTAGAATTTGATGAATTTTACATTTTTAACTTTTTCTGGTGTCATTTCAGATGGGAGTAGCTGGTGTGGGATAAATATTGGATATAAACAGGAAGGACTGAAGAAAACCTTTGAGCACAAACTGTTGACACCATCCCTCAAGTCGACTGCAACTAGCTCCACTTTCAAATCTTTAGGCTCTGCACAAGGCATTCCTTCAGAAATAAGCTTCCCAAATGGTGAGAAAAAAAGGCTGTGTGGTCTACATTTATTTTATTTTTTTCTATTTTTTATTTTATTTTATTTCAAAATATTAAGAGGGTTTTTTTGTTACATGGATAGCTTTTGTAATGCTTGCATCGGGCTATTAGTGTGTCCATCACCTGAATAGTGTTCATTGTCTACATTTATATACCAGAGATATTGAATTAATGTGAGACCATGTGCTCGGTTTGGATGATACCTTCCTCCTCAAAACTAAATGCACATGTACATGGATATACCAGGACTCATTCTTGGCTAAGAAAGTGTGTACAGAAGCATGTACAGGTGTTTCTATACCTAGGGAACTTAGTATGTGTAAATATGATGGATTATTAGACTAATGGAGGGGAGAAGAGACTGGAGGTTAAAAAAATTCATGGATGATTAAAAACGACTGACACAGACTGTTGAAACCAGAAGGAACCTTAGATATTGTTTAGTCCAATCCTCTCATTTTACAGAACCTTAATCAAGGAAAAGGAAAATGCCTTGTGGACAGTCACTCAGCCCATCCACAGCAGAACTGGGGCCAGAACTCGGGTCTTCCGGCTCTCAGGGCTACTGCATCCTACCCAGAATACTCTCTGAACTGCACATCACTCTTAGATGCTCACCTTTTTCGATAGGTAGAGACAGACGTTGAGGTGGAGATGGGATGTTGGGAGGGAAAGTGTAGAAAAAGGATTGGTCTGCAGGCTTAAAGTAAAGAGAAAGACCAAGTGAGCAAGAACTGAAGAACTTCAGGTTGATGTTATGATGACTCTGCTTTCTGTGCTTCTTAGTTAGAGGAAGGTGCAATGGTCTTTGGAAGGCCACTCCCTAAAAGATCAAAGTAGACTCCAGTTCACACACACATAGACCACCTTTAGTAGCCTGGCTGTAGTCATTCTCCCACCTTCTTGGTGCTGGTGGTAGGATTGCCTCATCCACTTACACTTTTTTCATTATGTTGGCTCCAAAAACCAGTTCTATTTCCAAGGGCTGAAGCCAATTTGGAAGCAGCATGGTGAATTAAAAAATCACCAAACTTGGAGTCGGAAGGCTTTGACTCAAGTGCCAGCTCTGTCACTAAGTCTGTGACCTTGGGCACATCACTTCCCTGCTTGGAGCTACATTCTCTCTACAGTTAATATGAGAGGGCTAGAATGGATAATCTCTAAAGTGCCCATCAGCTTCAGGATCATGCGTGAGGCAACACTATTTTCCAGTTTAGGTTGGTTGACTAGGGTATGGAGTCTCATTCTTCACCTTTGTATGGGAAAGTTAGTAGTGCACATGAAAAAACCTTTCCCTGCTCACAGGTATCTATCAGACTCTAGCTAACTAACTTGTAGATATGTTCTGGAGTTCATATGGAGGCACTAGGGAGCCATGGCATATAGAAGGCATGGTTCATGGAAGCTCCTTAGTCCATAATGGTTGGAGTCGATTGGGAAATATCATTTTTGCAAAAGAGTTTGTTAGTATTGGCTGTCCTGCTATCCCCAGGGGATATTTATTGCTTCATTAGCAAATACACAGCCAAAATGTGTACATATTTTGCTTCTAAGGAATAGTAGCGAATACCATGTCCAGGATTTTAATGCTGTTGTACCAAGCAATAGACCCAGAGAGCTGGCATCAAAGTGCTCATAAGTTGTGACAGTAACCCAGCCAGTGGGGCAGGAAGACCAGCCATAGGTTTTAAAACTGAAATCTGGATGCTACTAGCATACCTGTGGCAGCCTGAAGCTCAATTCCATTAGCACAGGGTGAAAAATCATGCCCTCTACACCACCAGACACTCTTAAGCTTCAGAAATAGTCAAACATTCAGGGCAAGAATATCAAATCCATCGGGGATATAGATGTGTGTGTTTCCATTGTGTGTTTTCTCTTCCTGAAAGTCTCCAAGGTTTGTTCATGAATATTCTCCCCTAGGTTAAAGTCAAACTCAATGACGCTTAGTAGTGGGATTGCTGGATCAAATGGTAGTTCTATTTTCCATAATATTCTGAATTTGAAAAGAAAAAAAAAGGAAAAAAGAAAAGTACTGAACAAATTACTGCTACATAAAATACTCCAAGACAGCAATAAAATTAATTAAGGCATTTCCTAAAAAAAAAAGTCAATAACGCTACCTGTTACTCACAGTTCAAGAAGAACATATGCACAGCCTAAACAGTGCTGTCAGGATGAATTAATTCACCCCAGATTTTTATTAAATTATCCAAAGAAAGCACTGCAACCGTCGTTTCCTTTCTAATTTTTTTATTCATTCTTTCATTTGATAAAATTTTCTTATGCTGCTACTACGTGCAAAGTCCCCGAGGCCACAGCTGACAATGTTCTTTTTTTCTTTAATGCAGATGACTTTGATGAAGATCCATACTGTTTCTCTTCCTTGGGTTGTGAAGTTGGGCCTAATTATGAAAGAAGAATATTACCTGTGTAAATAAAAATGAATTCCATTCACAAAGATTTTTTTCAATAAGTCCCAGCAGAGATACTTACCTGCCCCCACCCCCAAATTGGGAGAAATCTTGAATTTGTGAAGCAATCTGCTCCAATCTTGTATTCTGAATATTATTTTGGAAAGGACAGAATGAAATAACATTTAGTAAATATTAAAGTCAAAATAATTCTCCTATTTATTGTTATAGTTGTTTTTTTTTTTTGGATAAATGAGCCTATAGTATGACATATTAGGGGAGAAATATCTACAACATTGGAGATTTTGTTTCAAAAACTTTAAGTGTATATGTCCTGAAAGAAAAAATGAAGACCAAAGTTCCTACTGCCCTGTCCTGGAAGCCACACAATTTTGGATGGCCAAAGTTTCAGGATACACGGTTGGCCTGAGACCCACAGAGGAAGCAGATAAGAAAAGCCACAAGGTTGTACCTTTTGGAAAAAAATTCTGCCCTGTTGGCCTGTCATGACAAAGCATGTGAAGTCCCCATTATTCAAGCTGTACTTTTGATTGAAGCCCCTTATTAAAATGTAAGCATGTTTTGTGAAAAGGGTCACTCATTAATCCACAGACACCCATGAATTCCTTAGTGAGAATTCATTTCTCAGCCAAGACAGCCCCTCAAGGAATAGTACACAGGGTCCTGAAGAATGAAATAGAACAGGGACTGTCTGAAGCTGGTGGTCTCCCTAGGAAGGAAAGGCCAGGTCAGGGTGAATAGGATAGTAGGGGACTGGAGACAAGAAGGGTCATCCAAAGGCAACAGAGTGACCAAGGAAGATGAATTTCACTGGCTTTGCCTTTTGTGGCTAAGCATACTGCCAGTTAGGCTTCTAACTGTTCTCATTTGGCTTTGGGTAGAAACGAGTAAAGAGATGAACATTCTGGAAGGATACACGAGCAACTGGTATGAGTGGTTGTGTTCAGGAAGGAAAACTGGGTGTCTGGGGGCAAGGGAGGAAGGAAGATTTACTTTTCGCCCTATACTTCTTTGTATCTTTTGAATCTTGTACTGAGAGAATATATTATCTCTTTGAGCAATAAATAAATAAATACATAAATAAATAAAGATAACCAGATCCTACCAATGAGAAAGAAAGGTAAACTCCTGGGTTTCAATATCATAAATCAACTTCTCTATTGCCTTTATGAATATGTATGGTACAGTGTGGGCTGTGGAGACAGCAGAGCTGGTTTCAAATCCCAGCACTGTCACCTCCTAGATATGTGATCTCAGGAAGTAATAATAATCATACATTCATCATAGAATTGAAATGAGGCTTAAATGAGATAAGGTCTGAAAATGTCTAGCACGGTGAAACACATCTTAGCTCCTTTCTCTCTCTAACCCCCACCAGTTTATCATTTGTCTTCTCATGGCCCCAACCACCATATCTACCCCATTAAAGGTACCACATTGGATCCTCTAGGCAAAATTTAATGTTGGCTACCAAACAGAGGGGGGCACTGGTGCCAGTCACTAGTATAAAGCTCCTGGGCCCCCCTTATTCCCTCTATCATCCCACATAATATAAAAAAGTAGGCAGGTCCTTATGTTCCTGAATGTCTGCCATCAGAGTTGGTCCTCTTGCCTATGAAATTTTTTCCTAAAGAAATCCCACATCTATTGTTCCCCACATGGTTTCACGCATACTTGTTTGGTAGGAGAAGGTGAGTGAGTGTGTATGCGTGTGTGTGTGTGTGAAGGGACTAACATAAATGATAACCAAAGTGTCTCGAATGTACATGTCTTTGAATGGACATCATTAAGTCAACTTCATTCAAAATTAGATTTAAGGACAAGACTTGATTGTAATTAGCAAAGCTACAAAAATTTGTATTCTACAAATGGGTTGATTTGGGGGATCATTTTGGCTGTTAAAATGGCCATGATTGTATTTGTTTCCAACAAGTAAGAAAAGCCTGATTCTTCTGCTGCTTCTGGAGTGATAAATGTACAGCCTGTCTCTAATGACCTGACACGCTGTCAAGAACAGAAACGTTATTTTATAGAAAAGTTCATGATTCTTGTCATGACTCCCCCTGATAATTAGTAAAACACGGGTTTTCTGCAAATTAAATGACAGTTTGAAATTTCAGGGAAAACACCAACTGAACATCTTGCTGGCATCCTTTGGTTTGCTTTCTCTGGGCCCACAAAATGGCTGACAGGTGTGTGAACACAGACCCAAGTAATTATGGAAAAGAGACCCTAGAACTTTTGGACTGTTTTTATTCAACCCCCAAGTATTCATTGAGCCCTGACATGGAGGGGAAGATACAGACGCATCATACTTAGGCCACTACCGCCAGCAGCTTACTGTTTACCTGGGGAGACCAGACACACACACTGGAAGAGTGAAGGATTAAAGCAAGGATACGATGGAGAGAAGTGCTTTATGGGCAGGAATTGATGCAGGATCTAGTCAGGCTGAAAGTAGGGTAGGGCGGGCAGCTTGGGTAAAGCAGGGCTCCATTTCTCAATACTATAGGCAAATGTTCTTTATTAAGCACTGGTCAACAAATTTACAAAGCCCTGTGGAGCTTCAGGACATGAACACTGGCTTTTCGTTCTCTGTTGTGCCCTGGGTACGTTGTGGGCATGGGACAAACACTAAATGGTACTAAATCTCTCTGAAGAAAGTCTGAGGAAGCTCCTGCCCAGGACCCTAATCCCTAGGGTTTAGTTTTGTCAGAAGTTTTGTCAGAAGTCCCAAAGGTGTCAGTGACCATCTGTGATAGCCAATCTCCCTTGCACCCAGGGAAATAGGAAGGTTGTGGGGGCAGTGAAAGGATAAGAGGAAGTAAGACTTGTATCTTCAACAGCTTAGGCCTCTAGATCGCCATGTGCAGCCCCTCAACCAAATCCAAACTCACAGGACAAATCCCTTTATTTAAAGGATTTGTTCTGTAAAACTTGGATTCAGTCAAAAGGCTGCACTCGAGGATCCAGAAGGCCACATGTGGCCCCAGGGCCGAGGATTCCCCACCCCTGGTTGGTTTGTGGTGTGTTTCTGGTCCTGACCTTCAAGCATTTAGGGGACATAGGAGTGTGGAGCAATGGCGGAAGGACCTAGTTATACCTCTGTTGATTAGGCAAAACAAGTGAAATGGAATAAATTATACTTCTAATGTCTGACATTTCATAGGCACTCCATAAATACTTGTCACGTGCATGAATGAATGAATGGTCTAAAACACATGAGCATGTGAAAGCAATGGCTGATTTTTCCTAATCCTTAGTGCTAAGTAAACCTATGTTTTCCATTAATATGTAAGCTTCACAAGGGCAAGAACCTTGTCTGTCCTGTTTACCACTGTACTCTCAGTGCCTAGCACAATGTTTCAGTCAAGGTTCTTTGGTTGCCAGCAACAGAAACCAAGTATCTTTGAGCTGACATTATCATCAGTTCTGGTTAACCAATGTAAAGGGAATTTCTCGAAAGGGTTTGGGGAACTCATATAATTTAAGGGAAGGTTATAGAACGGGACTCAAGAAAGGAAAGAAGTATACAAAGCAAAAAACATAGGGATAGTCTCCCAGCAGGGAAACTTCTCATATGAACACCACTACTGGGAAGAATAAACAGTAATTTCCTCTATCCTCATGCTACTAGCATGGACCTGTTTCTGATCAGCTGAGCTTAAATTTTGTGCTGTACTGAGCAGTGAGAAGAGGGACATGGCAGAAAATATCTTCGGGGAGCCCTTTGGTTTTGATAGTGGTAGGACAGAAGCTCAGGTTTACCATCCCACCAAGATACTTACACTGGGGGAGAAGTCAGCCTACAAAAAGAAAGTAGGGGGTTGTTAAGAATGACTGAGTAGGTGGGAAAAAAAGCCTACGTATATCCACTATACACAGTGTAGGACTGAACGTATTTTAGTTGAATCAATGGCTAATTCAGTAACATACTTCTTCAATGAGGGTGCAGTAGTGCTTAGAAGAAGTCTCTCCCCCATCCCCCAGGCCTCATTCAGATATTCACTGTTTTTTTTTTCTTTTTCTTTAAGGCTACGGTGAATCAAGATGTGTTGAGAGAGTCAAAGAGTTGAAGATAAGCATCCTAAAATAATACAGAAGAGTGCTGTAAGGAAAAATGATCTTTAGAGATCTTGGGTATACAGGTTGGCCTCACTCTAAGGAAAACCAACATACGAAAATAAGCTTCATTGTTTGTCTATGTTGCTGCTTTGCTGCATCTCTTCAGACAAATTCACAACTGATTACATTTTTCGAAGATGCTTCATCATACAGTTTTCCAAGAGTTCCCCCAAAGATCCAGAAATATATTTTGATCCCAACTTCTGGGACCCTTCAGCTCTGATCAGGGGGGGCTCATTTGCCTGAAAAGTTTAGCCAGGAGGAGTGCTACTTACATTCTCCATCTAACTGGCTGACGACATGATATTCACCCGTGAGATTTCTAAGAGGGGGGAGGGAAGATGGCAGTCAGGGCCCCACTTTGGAGGACTTTGGTGTGGGTATTAAAAAAAGATCCAAAAGAAATCAATAATAATGGTAACTTCAGATACTGAAAAAAATTCATCTCATCTAAATGTGTAAGAAAAGTACAGATGTTTCCTTAACATATGCAGTCCTATGCAAATGATTATGTAAATTAAACAAAAAGTTGGGACTGGCAAATTCCCAAGTTTCCAAGATTTACTTATGTTAACCTAGGATGCATCATAGAAACAAGGGTGAGGATGTTTGTTTACATCCCATTCACTTAGATGTGAGGGGAGGCAAGACGGAAGGATATGCTACCTTAATAGGGGAAGGCACTCAAATCCTGGGACATGCTAGATAGATGGTTAGATGAATAGATAGATAGTTTTCACCTTCAAAATGTTAGCCAGCTCATCCATCATGCTCAGTTGGTTGTGGGCAGCAATGGGACTAGAAATGGAAATGAATCTGAGTTGCAGTGAATTTTGATGAAGGCCTAGTTCATGCAAGAAAGATTTTTTTTTTTTTTTTACATCTTCAGCCCA